AATTGGAAAAAACTTAATTTCCTAAATTCTTTCTGAAATCAGGTATGTAAGTACTCCTGCCGACGAGAAATTCAATGGTGCAAACTAGATGTCAATCCGACTCTTAGTTTGGAAACTATACGCTTGAGATCAAATGAAGCCCAAATGTTGAAATTGGGGCAAAAAAGCGGAAAAATCTTTTTTTTCTTTCTGAAATCACGTATGTAAGTAAAATTCTCGACAAGAAATTCAACAGTGCAAACAAGACGTAAATACGACCATTAGTTCGGAAACTATACAAAACAGTTTGAAAACAAATTAAGACCAATTCCCGATATTAGGGCAAAAAATTAAAAAAAACAATTTCGTAATTTCTTTCTGAAATGTATGTAAGTACTACTCTCGATGAGAAAGTCAATGGTGCAAACAAGACGTCAATCTAACTATTAGACTTGAAACTATACGCATGAGATCAAATGAAGCCAAAACGTCGAAATTGGGGCAAAAAAAAACAACCTAATTTCGTAATTTTTTTCTGAAATCATGTATGTAAGTACAACTCTCGATGAGAACTTCAATGGTGCAAATCACACGTCATTCCGACCATTAGTTTCAAAATTAAACGCTTGAAAACAAATGAAGCCCAAATCCCGAAATTGGGGCAAAAATTTAAAAAAAACTTAATTTTTTAAACTCCTTCCAAAATGGTGTATGTAAGTACTACTCTGAACGAGAAATTCAATGGTGCAAACTAGACGTCAATGCGACTATTAGTTTGGAAACTATACGCTTGAGATCAAATGAAGCACAAATGTTGAAATTGGGGCAAAAACTTGGAGAGAACTTAATTTCCTAATTTCTTTCTGATATCACGTATGTAAGTACAACTAGACGAGAAATTCAATGGTGCCAACTAGACGTGTATCCGACTATTAGTTTGGAAACTATACGCTTGAGATTAAATGAAGCCCAAATGTCGAAATTGGGGCAAAAAATTGGAAAAAACTTAATTTCGTAATTTCTTTCTGAAATCACGTACGTAAGTACAACTCGACGAGTAATTCAATGGTGCGAATCAGACGTCATTCCGACTATTAGTTTCAAAATTAAACGCTTGAAAACAAATGTAGTCTAAATCACGAAATTAGGGCAAAAAATTAATAAAAAAACCAATTTCGTAATTTCTTTCTGAAATGTATGTAAGTACTACTCTCGATGAGAAAGTCAATGGTGCAAACAAGACGTCAATCTAACTATTAGACTTGAAACTATACGCATGAGATCAAATGAAGCCAAAACGTCGAAATTGGGGCACAAAAAACAACCTAATTTTGTAATTTTTTTCTGAAATCATGTATGTAAGTACAACTCTCGATAAGAACTTCAACCGCACGGAGTGCAGAAGGAAAACAACTCCGTAGCTAAAAGTTTAAGAAATAAAACAGATTTGGCTGTGTCTGCGGTTAAATCTCCTAAAAGGAAGAACTGCAGAAAGGTTACAAATGGATATTTTTAAATATGCACTCAACGGAAAACCGAAAGCTCCAAAAATATATTTAATGTTCTAAATCTCCAAAACTGATGAAATTTGGGAGGTTTACATATTCTGGAACCATACATTTCTTGCTTTAGGATATCGTGCTATCCACCCTGTAATGCATGATTTATAATTTGTATCAATCAAAACGGTTTAAAAAGGACATGTGACAGACTATTGCGAATTGTATTTATTTATATACTCTCGGTAAGCTTTGTATTAAAAATTGAATTTTTTACCATAATCACTCGCAATCTTTACTTACTTCCACTCGCAGCCTTACTATAACCTCACAATGCAAGGTTATACTGTGTATTCTATTGTTATTGAATTGTTGTTAGTATTGAAAATAACTTAAAGAACAAATGACGGAAGATAAGCTTTCATTCTATTAATTTAACGAGTTTATTAAAATTTAGTGTTTACACAATAAAACCAGTGAATATTAGCAAGCTCTAACACATCTGGAACACATTTTATTTAAGAAAAAATAACAAAATTTGGTTTAGTAGAAAAAATACGTTTCTAAACGAAAACCTTTAGGCCTGTGTCACTCAAACGTTGCGTTGATATGCGTCAAGTAACGTGCGTTGTAGATAACACTATAATATGTGAAACAGCCAAGACCGCTCATGTGTCGTTTAGCATAATGTACAATGTTAATCTACAAAGCGCGTTACTTATCAGGCCTTAGTGTTTTAAATATAACTGAGTCAAAAAAGTCATAATTTTTGAAAAATATATAAGTACTAGCAATGCATCTTGTCTCCAAACTGAGATGGAAAAGACATATACAATTATGAGCAGTTGAATGTAGAAAGAGATTAAACATATTACAGTGCAGTTTTGTAATATACTTTATGTGTTAATCGTTCAGACCTTTAGGTCAAGCGAGAGACGGAGGCAAGTAGAGACATTAACGGAAGAATTTGAGACGAAGATAAAAAATTCATTTTGTCCAACATTGTGTGTAATTTCATTTTCTGTATTTTTGTCTGAAAACAATTTAATTTGGTGTAAATGTGAAAGACAAGTTATCATCCCGCTAAAGTAGGAAGCCTTGTCCTTAAAGGGATTTTGTAAGCTCTAAAAAATAAATAAATTCTTTGATTTAGGTAGTCAAAAACAACCAATGGTCATTCTTATGGACGCAATACTTTATGTTCAAAGCATTACTAAATGTCTATAAAAATATAGACATTAGTAAATATGCCCAAATAATTGCCTTTCTTAAAAGCAAATATGCTTCTATTCGTACGAAGAGAACGATATATAATCGTGCGACGGAAAACGGCGAATTTTCGAAAAAAGAACCCACTGTTGTTGCCGAACCCTACTATGGCAAAAGTGGATAAATCATGTAGCTACATATAGTAAATTAGCACGCGGGGGTAAACAGAATTCACATTTTGTTAGTCCTTGATACCGAGAATTTCATTGACGGCAATAAGTCTGTCCGTGTGTGGTCAACGCTAGCGGTTAAATTGTTCAGCTGATGTTCTCCAAAAATCGATATTCCCCGATCGATCTGAACGAACTCGAGGCTTTGAAAGTTTCAAACGGATATTCATTTTTGAGAGTACATTACTTGAAAGTGCAAAAAATATTTTCAACATTTTCTCAAAAATGGCACACCATTTTTTAATTAAAGTTTGTAATCGGATGGCGAAAAGGACACTGTCGTATACTAAATGAAAATAATAGTGAATTCTTTGAAAACAATTTTATTTTCCAAAATCCAAAAACCACTCATCAAAAGATATTTCCTGTTTTCATTCTCCAGAAGATGTGCTCGTAGCCATGTCGTCGTAAAAAAAAAGATTCCAGCCGTAAATTAATCCCGTTTATATCGTCGGGCAGATACGTATTATCCCTTCTGTGTGCTGGCGTGCTACCAGTAGCGACTAGGTGCCCTCTCGGGACGCTGCGAGCCGCTTATAAGGCCCCGCGGTGAGAAGCGGAATTTGGTGACCCTTCTCGGTGAAGAAGGGGAGGTACTACGCTGCTGGCTACCCCCGGTCGGCCGTGACGGGCGGCTTGGCGCGAGATGGTGGGCAGCGCTTATGGTGGCGTTTTGTGACACCACCACTCGGATGCCACACGCTCCCCACCTAAATCGTGGGTGTAGGGACGGTGTTTTTCGGTATGCGCTTGCTGGACGTTGCATGTTGTCGCCCATGGCTACAGGCTGCTGCTGACCCTGCTGTTGGGGATGTTGCTGCTGCTGCTGATGGTGGTGGTGGTTGTAGCTGTCACTGCAGGTACTGTTCCAGTTGTGGCTGTAGATCCTGCTGCTCCTCTGATCCCAGAGACCCCATCATGACGTCGCTCTCTGCCCTCCGGTGTAGCTCCGGCATCTGTACCCGCGAGCTGCGGTTCTGCTGATGGCGTCTGCCTCACCGGTTGCTCAGCTGGCTGCGACGGCGACAGCGCAGGCTGGAACACCATTGCTGCTGATGGAGCCTGGAAACTAGTTCCGTCACTGCTCTGTTCTGCTGCGGAATAGCTGAGGTCTCTGGGTCTCTGCATTATCTACTTCAGGGACTGAATGTATTGTCTCTCTAAAGTGTTCCTGGGTCCTTCTGATAATCGTGACTTTTGAATACTGGCTCCTTCTACCTTGATTACTCGGACTGGCACCCATTTTGGCTTCTTCCTTAATGTTTTGATGAAAATATTGCTACCTCCTGGGAACTTGTCTTGATGCTGAGTGCGAATTTGTCCCTTCGGAGGCGGTAGTAGAGAAAGTAATGTCCTGGGCTGTCTGATGTAATTTCTGTGCCGACCTCAGACCATCCTTTTCCGGTATTGCCTTGTACGACGTAAAAAGAAAACAACAATCCTGTTCCTCACTCATTCTCTCGTATTTTGCTTTGGTCATGGTCGTTTCAAAAGTATGGACAAATCGCTCTGCTTCTCAATGGTAGCGGGGATGATATGGATGTGCCAACTAGTGCCGAAGGCCATTACTATTACAAAATTGTTTGAAAACCTACATTAAAAATTGTGGACCATTGTCTGATACTAGTGACAGGGGTAGTCCTTCAACGCTAAGAATGCGTTGTAAAGCCCTAATGTTCCCCGCAATGTCAGACTTGCCATTTCTAGCACAAATGGGAAATTAGTTTGTGTGTCCGTTACTATCTGTCATGTTGCTCCCTGAAAGGGGATAAAGATATAACGTGTACTCTATCCTAGGATCCTCTCGTTTTGGCCATGGTCCATTGCTGTCTCGGACGTTTTTGGAATGCCTGACGTGCATCAAGGATCCTCACCCTTCACTCAATGTCTTTATCTATCTCTATTTTGCCTCGCCAATTGCTTAGTTAACACTATGTCCCAGAGCCCTTTGTGCAGAGTAGCTAATACTTCTTTCCTGAGATTGGCTCGTACATTATTCTAGCACTAGTTCCGTTCCCAGGAGTAGAACTCCCGTTTGTTCTGTTATACTATCCCTTACCTTAAAAAATGGCACGTTCTTACCTCTCATGGGCCAGTCTTTCCTGACATATTCTATTGTCCTGCGAAGCACCGCGTCCCTGTCAGTGGCTTGTGCGATGTGCCTGGTGTTGACCGGGAAATGCTGTAACGTCTGCTCCAGCTCCTGGTCCATCGGCAGACAGTGGACCTCCGATGTGTCGAATTCTCTGACTTCGCTGACCGGGAGGCGCAATAAGACGTCTGCGTTGGAATGTTGTCCTGTGCTTCTGAAAACTATGTAATGTGTATAATCCGACAAGAATAGCGACCACCTTTGTAGTATTTTTGTCGTGTTCTCCGGGATTCTCTATAATATTGAAAAATGTATGTTTTTCTTAATGGAATATCTTTCATAAAACATATCTTCAAATAAATTCTAATTTTTCGGAAATAAGCCAAATTAAACCAGAATAATTTTATTTATAAATAAATGAACATTCAGCTCTTTATTGCAGGGCTCCGATTCAGAATATGTAAGGAAACAACCTACAACGGTGATCAGACAAGATACAATAAATCAATCAATTATTACAACCGGCAATTAAAGATTTTGAAGACTGCAAAGATTTTGAAGACTGGACGATGCTATACATCCCAGATCCGCAGGAGACCTTCAGAGGTCGCTTTAGAAAACTGCTGATCAGATAACATGATTGAAAGGCGCGAAAAGCATTAAGTTTTGAACCGAGGGCGAAGAATACTCTCCAATAATGTAAAGAGAGAGGGTGGTTGATAAAAGACGAGGAAGAGTTCGGAGAAAAGTTCGTCACACCGAAACAAGGCGAACACAGACGCAAATCTGACGTCGGAGGCAACGAAGCTTGAAGCTTGCAGTTTTGTTGACAGATTGCGCTCCTGAGGCCGATCCCACAGCAGTAGATGGCTACGTGCACACGCTGCCTTCACGCTTCCCCCACTCTCCTTCCCCCTCTCTATAACTTACCCCCACCATTTAACGTCACCCAAACCCCCTCTATTCAACCTTAAACATTCCAACCCCAACCGAGAGCCCGCGGTCGCCCGCGGT